ACAAGGCAGATCATGGATAAATCATAATATGATTCGAAAAAAGAATGAGAACAGATAGTTTCCCATCTAAAATTCTTTACTCACTAAATTTCTTTTGTCAAATCTTGCTGCTAAATTTACGCAAACACGAGCATGTGTCAAAAACAAATCACTGCATCCAGGACAATAATAATATTTTTCTATTTTTCCTTTTTTTTCATTCGCTGTGGATGAATGATTTTATATTTTTTCTTTGCTTCCTCTTTTTATTATAAACATTGAGAGAAACGAGACAGACTCTGACTCACTATTTACAGAAAAGAAAAAGAAAAAAAAATTAGCCAAAAAAAAGAAAACTGAAGACTATATACAGGTAATCAAAACAAAATATCGAAATAATTTCACTTTCATATTTTTCAATTTATGCATTCGCTGAAGTAATGAGCGGCCTATAAAGAATAAAGATCTGCGTACGTGCTCAATATATCGTCTCTAGTTTTCACTGATGCAGACTAAACTTTTTTCAAAAAATTCAAATGCTTATTTTATGCAATAAAGTTTCATTATAGAAATTCTTGAACATACTAATTCGATAGAGTTTTTGAAGTTCTACAAAATCGATAGTACAATTTGTCCATGTAGTCCGATATAAATAAAGCACAACTGTATTTTTGTATTTGAAAGTCATTGATGTTGTATGTCAGTACTATTACTATAGTAACTATTTTTGCTTGTTTTTATTTCTATGATATCTATTTGTATATAGTTTTATAGAGAATTATATGCTAAATCTTTTGACAAAAAAAGAAAAAGTTCAGTTAGAGTCTAGGAAAATTGGAGAAAATATGAAAACTCTCATTCTTTGTGAGCCATCGATTATGCTTACTTTATTCTATCATGGATAAAAATTTGTAATAAAAATTAAAAATAAAATCGATGTGCGATGCAATCTCACATTGACGATAGAAGAAAGACAAGTTTTTCAACTTTACACTATCATATGATTATATTTAATTCTCAATTTTACGAATTTGAAATATTTCTCTAATTAATTGACGATTCTTAATCGATAATTGGAATCAGTGATTAAATTTGATTTATCGTTGATTTTCGAAAAATTATATGTTGTATCACAATTACGATAAAATCTGATTTAAGCACTGATTTTTTACGAAATACGAGTAATCATGATTTTACGTTGGCTTTTGTTTTTTTGATAATCACCACGATTTTCACAGTATGGACTCTTTTAATTAACTACATAGAGATATGGCGTGAATTAAGTATTGTCTTCTTGTTTGATTTTCATTGTAAGCAATACCGACTTAGTCTAGAATAAAACTAAATGTTTTGAAAGTCCGTCAAAACTGTCTGCATCCATATGTTTACATAAAATAATATAAAATCTCATTCTTTGAATATATTCTTTGGTAGCATCAACAACAAAGGAAGTGAGATATTTATCAAAGTGAACGATATATTCGAAAAAACTACTCTATTGTCAAGAAATGTGTCAATTATTTTTCTTTTACTTTTTTCGCTATCGAACTTTATTCGAAAGCTCGTAGAATAAAACATTGCCTACGAATAGAATACTGTGAAATTGTTTTCCAAAAAGATTAAACGGAATAATGGTACACGGAAGGTAATGAGAAGCATGGGTATGGAACTCTTCTTTTCTAACACCGAAACCATAGCTGATAATTTCCTTTTTTATTTTTATTTATTTATTCAAAGTATTTATTTTGTACGATGCATAGCTTCACAAGTGAAATGTCTGATATCTATTGATTTTATATAGTTTGAAGTAAATCGGTATAATATACATAGTACTGAGTAATCGTAGGATTTTTAAATGATAAATACTTTATAACACTATCATCAAAATGTTGCTTTTATTAATATCAAATGAAGATGAATAGGTAATGTATCAATAAAAAGGTCCTTTACTAACATAACATTAGATGGATGTGAAATCTTGATTCCATTAGGTATACCGATAGTTCCACTCTTGAATCCAGGTCTTCAATCCATCAGTAAACCGCTAAATGTATCAAGACCATATACTAGTTCACTTTTGTTACCACAAAATGCATTTTTTTCATATTGCAATATGAAATAAAGTAGAATCACGAAAGACACCAAATTCCATTCGTAAACCATCAAAAGATGGTTTTATCATATCTTTATATGAAGAATTATGAAATATTGTATGAATAGAGTCACTTCTTGGAATAAATCAATGAGACATAAAAGGTATTTTCGAGTATTCTCAATGAACTCGACTAAAGTTAAATAGTTTTTTCGATATATATATGACAATTTTGAAGCATCACTTTCATTTGTATATGCACTTTTATTATCCAATTTTTTTCGCTTGTAATTTTCTTAATTGATCATGTATAAATATACTTCCATCAGTTCGATAACATAGTTTTTCAGATGGATTAAGTAATTTCATGAAATGCTTCATAATAGCTTTTCTGATAATAATATGTGATTTAGATATAATAAATAATAATTCAGAACATATAAGAATCACCAATAATAGCAATGATTTTTTTTTCCCTTGATTATTAATCCTTTTCAATAGTAATCATAACTATTTTTCTCGTATACTTTGCTTAGTTATGCTGATATTTTCAATAATCATCAACTTGCTTGATACAGCATCGTTCTAAATTCTATATCATATTTATGAACAGATTTTGAATAAAAATCTAATTATCTGAAAATATCGAAAAAAAAAACATAAGTAGAGAAAGTCAATAATCAATTCAAGATTTTTCGTTGATGCTGTCTAAAATATCAAGTTAAAAAGGGAATGAGTAACTCATATACAATTCGATAATTTAATCACTTATTTAAGATATAGGAGACTTTTGTAAAGCTCACCAGCGTAAAAGGTCAGAGATCTACCCAAGCAGACAAAAAAACACTTATGAAAATTTCGACCATTTGCGAGTGCTAATCACGGTTCCCAATTATCATTCAAAAAAGGCAGCGGGAAACTGATCACTTCTTACACTAAGTAAAATTTTTGACAGTTTATGCGTTACAAATTCTTAGTCAATCTGGCATCTACTTACTGTAAATATTTCTCACTCACAATCGAGAACCGCGATTAACATCTTAAAACACTCAGATTTTCCGTGCTTTTACACGCTTCTTTATTTTTTCTCTATCTTTATGCCTTTTCTTATATGTTTTTTCAATGAGCTTTTTGTTCATGTATATGATTCATATAATATTAATAAATGATAAGTAGACAGATAGATCTGTCTCGTTACCTGTTAACTTACTTACAAACCCGTTTAGCAATCAATCTACCTATATAATTACTTATCTATGTAATTGCCTATCTATCCAACTATCTTAAAAAGCAATAAAACAATTAACAGATCGTTAACAGAAATAATAAAGTCAAGAAAACATCTTCAAAGTCATTCATTTATGATAATAATAAATGGTATTAAAAAGACGTACATTTTTCATTGAAGAAAATCGTGCTGAGTCATATACAATACTAAAATAAAGTGCTTAAATCATTCTTGTAATAAATATTCAATCGATACCAAACGAATGCCATATAGCAAAAAAAAGCTGTTATTGTAAACCACCATTGTAGTAAAGTGTGAAATGAAAAAGATTTCTTCTTCCATTCTGATTATAAATATTTGACTTTATCAGGTGTGAATGTTACATCTACATCGTTGTTCTTGGACGTTTTTTTCTCCATCTTCCTATCCTCCATTATCACGAATATTAACAAAAAGAGAAAATTTAGTCAAGTATAAAAATAATTATGTCTATGAGAAAAACTTTCATGTATATGGTAGTAGACAAGGAAAACACATCGGAAGAGAATGCAGACAGAAAGATATTAAAACAAATAAGACTATAAGATAAAAACAAAATAATACTTTACTTCTTTTTCATATCGTTTCTCCTTAGATGAATACAAAAACGAATAACTCACATAGTGAAGAATTGATATGCAGAGAATAGGGAATCGCTTATTTTATTTTTTTTAATTTTCTTTGAAATCTTTTGTCAAGACCAAACAATCGATTTATATAGATTTATTGAACTAAAACTGTCCTAGTTGTGTCGATATAAAGACATATAATTTTCTTATTACTTTTTAATAGAAAATTATAGTTATAAACTATGAAATATTCAAAAAAAAATGTTTTATAGAATCGAACAATTTTCTACTATGAACTTTAGTTTTCTTATTTTAAGCTTATGCATAAGTGTACTAGCCGAAGTCAATATTAAACTTCCATTTATTTTGAATATTTTGTTGCCTTTTCGATAATTGGTAGTTTTCTAGCTTGAATTATATTGAATTGCATGTCATACACATATTCATATTATCATTAAAATCTGAATGAAAAAGATGCAATCATGCGATACATACACAGTAAAAAATTCAATCAATCAATCATAAACAAATCTTCTTTTATGAAAGTTCAAGTTTGATGAACGATCTTTCTAATGAAAATATTCTATCAATAGCAGATGATAAATCATTCTAATTGATAGAAATATATATGAGAAATACGATGAGTAATAACTGTCTGTTTCATATTATTCTTAATGAAAATAATGCTATATTTAGCATTCTATGACATTTATTTATAGATCAAAAGAAATTTGTAATTAATATTCAATAACTTCTTAACTATTAACCTTCTTTTTTCCATTTTATTACAGAACACAAAGAATAAAAGTTTAAATATTCTATCTAATATCACAAATGAATTGTTTAGCAAATATTTTAGAATTTCAATACTGATATTATAAGAATTATTCATTATTCTTATCACACATTTCTAAGACGAACATAAAAAGAAAAAAAATATATATACAGATACAAATAAGAAAAATGATACAATAATCCAGTAAATATAAGTATAGTTTTAATATGACAAAAAGAAAACACAAGAGAGAAAAATTTTATTACCGGTATTAATATTGACGGAAGAAAGAAAGAAAGAAAGAAAGAAACTTTTTTTTTAATTTAACGTTGGTAATTCAATACGAATAAAATTATCTTTAAGAAATATGACACGTAAATGAGTATAATCATATCTATGATCTTTTGGTAGACGACAATAACGTGATGTTGAACGTATTATTATTTTATTTTGTTGCTGTTGTTGTTCATATTGTGATAATAAATTTCTCTCTTGTTGTTCAATAAAAAGTTTTAATAAATTTAATTCTGAATCAGCTTGTATACGTATAGAATCCATTAATGTTTCAAATGGTAAACGAATATGATATATAAGAAGAGGTGGAATATCATTTGTAAATGTATATTGTCCATCCCATATAGTTGGTGTAGATATTGTATTAAAACGATTGATTATATCACTTACACTTTTTGTATCTGTATTTTGTTGTGATGATATTGTTGATTCACCAATATGAATTAAAGTTCGATTATTATTTAATGTTTCAATTGTATTTAGAGGAGTAATATTATTATTATTATTATTATTATACATTATTCGCTGATTATTAGATATGAGTGACGGTGATATCTTCTCTTGTTGCAGGTCTATCGAAAAGAAAAACATAAAAATAATTTGAATAGAACTTAGTGAAGAAAAACAAAAAAAAAATAATAAATGGCACACCATGCTGGGAAAGAACAACATCATATACACACGAACCGTGCTAAAAAGACAAGAAATTTCTTTTAGGGCGATAAAGCCCTACTGAACCAATCAGCAACTGCTTTGAGCTGACTTAGAAGTGCTGAAAAAAAAACACTTTAAAAGAGTTAATAAACATTCATATATACACACAGAATTAGAAATATATAGTTAGTTGATTTATTTCTTTTTTATTTTGATTAACTACCTGCTTGTTCGTTCATCGCGTCGATGACTCCGACATGCAATGTATTAGAAAATTAATTAGATATAATGTGCATGTAAAAAAAAGAAAAACCTACATCAGCTCAAGAATGATTTTTTTTTTTTATCATCAATACTTTTTTTCTAAAGAACTTTTTGTTAACTATTTAACAATTGACAATATATAGTCTAATCGATAAGATCTGAATTCAAGTTATGATAATGAAAATGACATTTTTGTAGTTTATAATAAAATCCTTTTTTTTTTTCACAATGTTTAGTTATCTAGACTTATTAACCTACCTCCATCATTCCTTGTCGATGTTAAAGTAGAATCTGTTGATGATAGTGGTTCTGGTGATAGAGGTGATGTTGATTGAAGAATTGGAGATGATGAAGATTTTATTTTTTGTTGTTCAATTTTTCTCTTTCGTTTAATATCTTCCCATGCCCATAATTGATATTTACCTTCAACAATTAATTGTCCATCTTCAGTTAAATAAGCAACAATTGTTTCATCATCAACAATATCAGGTACTAATAATTCTGTTTTAAATTCATGTTTACGATAATTTCCACGTTTATCTGTTGGTTCTATTGTATGACAATGTATTAAAATTTTTGGTCCTTCTAATTGTACACTTATATCTGATGTATCATAGGTTTTACCAATAGGTACACGCATTTCATATAAATTTATATCACTATCATCAGATAATGAATCATTATTTGACGATGTACGTGTTAAATTATATGATTTTTTCGTTGAATCATCAATAATATCATTTATTAATAATGTTGATGGTGTATATGGTGCAGATTGATTGGAAATATTTGACTACAAAAAATAAAATAAAATAAAATAAAATAAATGTTTGACTTTTTTTTTCTTTTTAAATAAAAACCTGTTCAGTTGGAATAGGACGAGTAGGTAAACGTAATTCATCTAATGATTCACATGATGAACTAATTGATGGTTCTCGTCGTCTTTGTACAACAGGTCGAACAACAATTCGACGTGATGATTCACGTTTAATAGGATGTTGTCGACGTAATTTACAAGAATTTCGTGTATCATTATTAAGATCAATTGATGATGAGGGAATATTATGCATGATATTATTTCCCAAAGATGGCGGAGTACTGGTAGCCATAAGCGGATGCTGTCAAATAAAGAAATAACAACGTGCAACTAGGTTTTCTTTTTTTTTTCTTTTTCTATGCGTGTGCACTTTGAAACGTCAACTTCCCTAGAGTCATGATCGAGGTTTGAGAATAAGAAAAAAAAATCTTACTGTTCTTTCTTTCACATTTAATGTGTATATTATTTATATATTTGCATACAATTATTTACTTGTTTTATTAACATAACGTACCTGTAAATTGGTTCGATATTTTGAATGATAATTTTGTTGTATACTATCATTTGTTGTTGATCGTTGATTATATGTAGGCTTTAAAAGTTTCGAAGATGGCGTTGAAAATACTGGTGGTGTATATCTGAGTTGATCAATTGAATGTGATCGTGCATAATTTAGAACGGATGAAGTTGTTATTGGTGGTGGTGGTGGTTGTGGTCGATGAGTATAACCATGACCTTGTACTTCAAGTGATGGTAGAACAGTAAGATGAGGATTTGTTGATGATATGAGATCAAGTGAACGACTAGTTAAACGATTAAGATTCGATGATGATGCTACACGTGCTTGATTTTGTAATTGTGCTAAATGTTGTTGTTGTTCAATACGACGATATTGATGATCTAATGCAAATAGTTCTTCTACCGATAAACCTAATGGCCGTTGAGTCGATGATTGCGAAGAGGTGACCAACATGTTGCTCTGTCTAAAGTAAAATTCACTACTCTTCGTCTATTCAAATCATATAAAGAATGAAACAAAACGAAACGAAAAAAAAAAAAAGAGAACAACTTTTCATTTTCTTTTGTCTCTCTTTCATTAAACAAACGAATCAAACTCAACCAACGAAAAAGGATAGAAAGAAGAGAAAAAACAGAACAAAAGATGAGGTCGAGATGAGAAAAAAAAAAGAAAAACGAGAAGAGAAGAAAAAAAAAATCTAGAGAATCGTCATCTATCCAACTCGAAGAGCATGCGCGACTCTATTTGCCATTTCTGTATTCTGTTACTATTCTTTTACGCCTTCTAATTACTTCTTTAAAGACGAGAAAGACACTCTTGTAAATTTATACAATATAACGAACGCAAACTTCTGTGTATGTCTTGCGTATAGAGAACAGTTGTGGATATACATATATATACGTATATAAGATGTTGAATTCTTGCCTATGTATACATATTGATACTCATGGTATAAACACAAATATGGCGACAATATAATATTGACAAGACATGGCTGACGCTAGCAAGCGTCCAATAATCAAATGATAGAAAAAAAGAAAAAAACGAAGAAGAATCATAGTGATGACAATGATTAACTGAAGATACAGAAATATTTATCGTTAAAAGAAAAAGCTTATTTTGCAGTTCGTTTAAATGTCATTTACACAAGTGATAAAAAAATAAAAATAAAAACCCATCTATATCTACCTTTTCTTATTTTTAAAGATTACTGATATTTACAGTCTACCATATGTTATTTATATGCATATATTTACTCTTGTATTTTTTTTTCTCTAATGCATATATATATATATCATATTTTAAATTTTGTACTATTATGTTGATAGTGATTTCAATTAAATACGATATACATCTATAATTAACTCTATGTGAATTTCACACTGACCATCGATTAGATAATATAAATAAAAAAAAAAAATTGTGTTTTTTTTTCTTTTTCTTCTTCTCTTTGACATTAACATGGTTGATCGAATGATGTCTTAAATGAAACTCAATTAACTCAGTAGGTGGATGTGAACAATAACATAAATCTGAAATAAGATAAAATAAAACAAAAAAAACAAAAACTATACCGGCATATCGATCGCATGCTGAGTAGATGTGTTTTTTTTTCTATCTACCCATGTCGAATGTAGAGATCGACATATATATAAATAGCAAGAAAAATTCATTGAAAAATATAATAATGTCGTTTGCACCATGTTTATGTAGTACACCAAAATTTGTTCATATTATTAATCAACCATCACATTTTATCATAGCAGCTCCAATTATATTTAAAAATGAAAATCAACGACAACAAACAAAATCAAAAACTTCTTCATATTGTCGTCCATTAAAAAAATGTCATCGTTATCATTCGAAACAATCCAATGCAAGTACTGCTATCAATCGACAACAACATTTTGATAATGATATTACAATTCATAATAATCAACAACATATTTTTTTCTGTTTACCCTTTAGTCTTTTTCATATATCTAAACGAAGACAACATCGTCCATGTCATGTATAAAAAAAAACAAAAAAAACAAAACAAAACAAAAAAATCTACATGTATATAATCTAGACTTCTGTTTCTTTTTTTTTCAGTATAATAATAATAATAATAATAAATGAATAAAAATAACAACAAATAAGAATTTTTTCTGACATCTGGTATTGTTTTTTTTTGTTTTGTTTTTATTAACTATTAGCAGTTTCTTGTTCATTTGATTTGGGACGTCCTTCAATAGAATCATCTTCACTTGTCAATCGATTAGTATCGTTATTGACTTCTTGATATTCTTCAACTAACCTAGAATAAAAGAAGATTTCTTCTAGATTGATTTTTGTTTTCAGAGAAGTTGTTTATTAGTATTAAAATAGAAAATAAATTTTTACATATATATTGTAGAAAAAAGAAGAAAACAATTCCTTTGAAAATAGATTTGTTTTTTTTTTATTAAAAATATGTTCGATTGTGTAATAAAAAGAACGCAATATAATGTAATCCCATATATTTTCATTCGTGGGTATGTTTTATTAACTTTTTTTTTTCATGCATAATTCAACATATTACGTATTATGAGGATCAGAATTTTATGGAAATATATACTTTTGCTTTCTTGTTTTTTATTATTTTTACTACATTCTATTTTGAAATTGATTCGTAATTTTATATTTATGATAGACAAACAACATTGAAAATAATTCAGTAAGATCTCTCATTTTCGTTTGCAATTGTATATTAAAATGTAGAACATAAGATTACTTTCAACAAGTATGTTGTTGAGAAGATTGTTATTATTTATGAGATAATAAATAAGTGTTTTATTGCTTGTAATGTCCAGGTTTTATTATATACATATATATATATGGCAAGTGAGTTTAGACGTTAGTCGAGATTGGAATAGTGTTTCATAATTCTGTAAAAAAAAATATCGAGAGTACATAAACAAAAAAAATTTTTTTTTTTTTTTGTTGATATAATTTGATTATATTTCGAAGTTTACTTGATAATAGAGATATGTTTAGACTGTTATTCTATACATAAATAATAATAAGTTGACTATATTTATTTTGTTCAATAAAATAAATATTTCGACAACATTTTTTTTCATCTCGAGAATATGGGAATATTGAATGATTGATGAAAGTTTTTGAAAAAATGTTATGTTTTTTTTTTTAAGTATTTAGTCAGATGAGCAGGAAGTTGATGTCGATGACTTTTAAAAAGAAGGATGAGAATAGCACGAAATATGTACCTTATATAATTATGATATTAGAACATAATTAATGATTGGAAGCACAAATGACATCGAAAGTTAAATGTTTGGTCTAAAAAATACTGGAATTGATGATATCGTGATAAATTTTTTGAATCAGATTTAGAAAACATGAAAACTTTTTTATTTATGTTTTTTTGTAAAAATCTTGTCTAAATCAATTAGTTCGTCTTGTTTTCATGGATTCCAAACTCAATTGAATTCTTCATGTCAACTATGACATATACATTTTTTCCTGAAAGAAAAATCATTTATAAATAGAATTTCTCTTTTTAAGTTCATTACGCTCCATGAATTTTATGTTTACTAACGAAGGGATTATTCACAGACTCTATGCTTTCTCTCATAAAACTTAATGTAAATTCTATGTACTTTGATTTTTTTGAAAGATCATTTGTATTTTCTGATATATCTGAATCACTTTTTGAATGAGATCGTTTTCGTTGAGCAGTTAATAAATTTTCTTTAGGAGATGAATCATCAAGAACAACAACATCCGATGATGCACTTGTATTACTACTGTTTGTCTAAAATTCAAAAAATAAAAAATATATATCTTAAAGAAAAAAAACAGAAGAGATAACATACTGATGTATTGATATTTGTTGTTGATACTTGTTGTCGTTCGATAATTTGAATACGTGATTTTAATTCTTTACATAGATTACTACAATCATTTGCTGAAGCCTTGAAAGGAAATGATAAAGATTTGATATTTATTTTAAAGAAATCTTACTTTAATAATAAATATTCGTAATTGTGATTCATCTTGAGCACCAAATCGTACTGAACGATCAGTAGCTCGTTCAACAGTCATTTTTGGAAAAATAGGTGAATTAAGAATAACACGAAATGATTTATCAAGTCTCATAACTAAAAAAGAAAAAGCAAAACAAAAATGTCATTTCAAACTTTTTCTTGCATCATCAAGCAGTTTGTAATTCTGCAGTGTTTTAAAACAACGTTTGAATATCCTCGTAAAGTGGGACTTCATATTTCATTATATATACCTAAAACAACATACTCTACAAAATGAAATAATTGATAAAGTCTATTCGGGATGAGAATTTTCTGATTCTCATTGACATAAAATTGCTGTCAATATATTCAATCGATCTATTTTTATACATTATCATATTTCTGTATTTGAGTGTTATAATTCGAACTATATATATATATATGAAGAAGCTTTTCACAAGTTTGAACCATTCGATGTTGATACCCACGACATATCGTTTCATTATTTATTTAAAGACAAGCATATGCAGATTTTATTTTCTGGAAGTATGGATTTAGTTTAAGGGACCTCTCCCTTGGAAAATCGAATTTTTCAAAAAAAATATCGAAGTTGACTTTTTATCACAGAAAGATGCAGCGAAATTTCCTCTTTCAGAATATGTATGGCTTTTCGGGAAAATGACCGGATTTTCAAAGACTTATCACATGAAACTTTGACTCTACTGCCATATCTTCGGAGAAATTTTCGTGGTCTTTAAAGCTTTTCAGTTTTGGAAAAACTCTGTTGCCACTTGGATTATCATTGAATAGAACATTTTTATATTAACCAGCGTGTCAGATAGCATTAACTACCTTCATCTATCACGTATTTTAAAACGGTCCACTGGAATCTATTAAAAATGTATCTCATTGTAATATGATTTGTTCTGGATTTGAATAAAAAAATTCATTTCTAAAACTTCTTTAGTATTTTTCTCACTGAAAAATTGAAATAACTCCCACTCAACTCGGAGCATTACCAATGTTTTGTTTTTGTTTTAAAGATCTTAATCAGACCTAACTTTTCGTCGGACGGATTTTTGATACTTGATTCCTGGACTGAAAAAAGTAGAATTTACTATTGTAAAGTCACATTTTTTTATGCTTATTTTTAACATCATGTCCATTAAAATGTTCATAAAAAATGAATAAAAGAGCATTTTAAAATTCCGTCTGATGAAAAGTTGCGCACAGAGGCTAGCTTTAACTTAAAATGGGCCAGAACTCTGTACCCATTATAACGACAGAGTTATTTCGATTCTCCTGAAAGGTAGTAAAACAAGCCAGAAGTTCTGTTTAGTAGGGTATATGAGGCTGAAATTTTTATCGCAAGTGTTTCGCACTAGGACCATACATTCCTGAAAATTTCAGCCTAAACGGTCCATTCTAAGTCGAAAATCAATTCTG